AGGTGAACACGACAAAACCTCTGCTCAGTCGGCTCACTATCCCCAACATCCACACCACGCTCAACCAAATGGACACCGCCCGACCAGGTAAAATACAAAGTTTAATGCTTTATATTTCTTAAACTATAAGTCATTGTGTTGGTCATTTAAACAAATCTGTGTAGCCTCACATGCTGCTTTCCTTTCTTTTGAACAAAGCACCCCATGGAGTTGTTATATTCACAAATATAAGGCCTACACATTCAAGGGAGAAGTTGTTCAGCCATTATTAAACAAGTGCTGTTATACACAAAATCTTTGCTACCTATAGAAAAGTAAAGGATAGTAAGTCACCTGTGCCATTTATGGCCCCACACATAAATAGAAGCCATAAAAATGTTTAAACTGCCAACACATTGCCTGCAGTTGACAGTGTCAAAACTGCAGCAGATATTCCCCACTTGCCTTGAAAGTGGCAGACATAACAACGTAACTTCATTAATTCTACACACCTTGTTCAAAGAGTCATATTTGAGCAGAAAACATCACAACATAGTAACAGTTATTCTATTACTAACAATTCATCTTATAGTTGGTTGTTTACTATGTATAGCCCTGGTTCAGCTGATAATGAATATCTATTCTTAAGCTGCAAAAGCAAACTAGGAAAACCATTCGTTAAGGTTTAAAATTGTTACAGTTTACAGAGATGGATTGTCCTTTTAAAATTTAAGAAGCTATTTTGTCAAGTTTGTGTCATGTTTTTGTCTTCTAATATGTGCTTGCTTTGTTGCTTTGTGTCCTTTCAAATATCCACTGTAGCACTTAGGAACAATAAAGAAAAAGCCATCTCATCGTGTTTTCCTCAGAACAATCCTCAAGGTTAAAGTGGTAATTACACCAGCAACCCTGAAGCAACTAATAAAACTCATACCTAAGTCAACACTCACTCACTCACTCTCACACACACACACAAAGCTGCAACTCTACTCAACTCAACAAGTGGTGTTGCTTCTAAAAGTCAAAAGGATTAGATGATAATCGCACAAAGATAAGATATTTCACTGTCCTGCCATCTGTAGAAAATCGGCTTCAAACATAGCCTACCAAACCACTCCAAATCATTATGAATTAAACCAATTTCTGAATTTCCCTCTCAAAAATTAGGATTCTTCGCCAGTGTTTGTGTCTTTTATGCACAGTTCTGATTTGGGGGCATTGTAGCGCAAAAAGTAAGATGATCCTCTTTTGCAAGCTACACAGGAAGAGAGACTTGATTTGAGAAGGAAGCAGCTGTACAGCATGGCAAGGTCAGAGGCCTATAATCCGCGGCCTCATTCATGCGAGATTAAAAACCTGCTCCGAGTTCTGATTAAGAACGCAGGGTTAGAAGATTAAAGACCAGCAAACAAACTGAAAGCAGTTTAAGCCCAATCCTGGAATTCATCAGAATACCAAAACCTTAAACTGTCATTACAACGTGAGATTAATGCAAAGCCCCCTTGAACTCTGTATCGGTCTTGATATATCTTCTGTGTCAGAGCCTATATCTCCTTTTTTTTTTTTAACCAAAAATCTGGATGATCTCTCACTTTGTTCTGTGTCATTTCTCTCTCATTGAATTTCTTTTCATCATAATGACACATTGTCAGTATGAGGCTGTGGCTCAGGTGTTAGAGAGGGTTGTCTACTGATTTCTATCCCTAACTCCTACTGTTCACACTTGAAAGAATCCTCGGGCACTGAACCCCGGTTTGCACCCCAGCAACTGGGGATGCACAGGCCATTCTTAATTTCTAGTCCCAAACCTGGATAAATGGGAAAGGTTGCATCAGGCATCCAGTGTAAAAAGCCCATGCCAAATCAAATATAGGGATCAACAGATGATCTGCTGTGGTAAGAGAGAACAGCCGAAAGAAGAATGGTTTTGTTTTTATCAAGGGTTTACTATGTCCCTTTTACCTACTTTTCACAATAATTCCAGTCTTTATCCCCTGACAGACATATCCTCAGTACTTAAGTAGCAAGGATTAGGAAGCAGGAGTCAAGGCGGAAAAACAAGGATTAGAAATGAAAAAACATCTGGAAGTTAGCTTGCTTGCAAAATTGCTAAAGCAGAGAATATATATGCCTATGCTGCAATTGTAAACAGGATTCATTGTGGCACTCATTCGGCTAACTAGACTTTTCCTGCAGGCTAACGCTGACCCCTTCTTTTAACACCACAGATATGATAATGTTGTTCTTCACCTCAGTAAACACCAGATTGTAGACTAATGTGTCAATTATCTTTCAGGTTCCTTAATTTTTACTGCAATGCCTCTTAACTTATGTGAATAAAAATGCAGTGACTTCTGTCATGGTCTCCTGAATGCAGTACTAATCAGTGGACATCCATCTAGTATAGAAGTTTCTCGAGCAGGGGTCATAATCAATCCCAGCATAAGGTCCATGACCTTCTTGCAACACATATAAATCTTATAAGCTGTTGAGCTACTGTCTCCTAACTGATTACATGCTGCAGTCACTATGGACTTTATTTTGGGGGTAGTGCAGAGAAGGGGGCTGTTTCCCATTGAACGGATTATATAAATGAGAACCATAATACTGTAATCTCCCAGAGAAATGAGAGAAACCAAGGGACATGTCGACGCTTGCTAGCTAGCACCTTGGTCTGCAACTGTCAGATTAACAGCTGGTTGAACATTGACAGATTACATTCACAGTTGTTTTCTTGTTTTAACAGTCCCCACTGTGTTGCATTTGTAACACTAGAAGTACAAGGAAAACTGCCTTTCAGAAGTCATACAGTATCAGAGAACAACTACTTAGCCAGTCATGGGAAAATTGCCACAATGTATCAGTGTCAAGAGCTAACTGGAAAAGCATAAATGATGCCTGCAATTCTGCCAAGTACATTGGTTTTTAATTAACTTTGCTGATGTGAGAGTTAGCAGCATTGAGTCATTTTTTCAGCTTAGCAATGCAGAAAAAAAATCCCCAAAGTTTAAAGGAAGCCATCATCCTTTGAACAAAGTCATGCACATTAGGTTATTCATGCATTTGATGTGTGCTGGTGTTGAGAGTCCCAATGTTTGTCTATTTTATAATTTTCAGCTGGACAGCAAGAATATCTCATGTACACACTGAACATTTAGATCCTATTACATCCTCAGTTGCAGATTCACTTGAGTGCAATACCAACTAAACAGGGAACATCATTTACAAAATGTAGTCCGAGACCAGTTCACTTTTGCAATTATGCTGGTGGTTAAAAGTGCTGCTCTATGGACAATTTTAAATAACATTTTAAAGGATCAGATCAAGGATATGGGATTCATCTTTATTAATAACTTATATTTATGAATAGAACAGCATTAAAATCAAATGAATTACAAACTCTATACCCTTGATAGGTGCAGACTGTTTAATGTGTTTTTTGTATGGCAAAGAAACATACTGTGTAATTCTGCCCTCCCCTTTGCTTGGATTTTTCTCGTCATTGTCATGTCACAATTTAAAGACATACCCAGGTTCTCCATCACAGCAGTAAAAGGATTCAACTGTAAGAAAGGATATATGCTAGATAAAAAAAAAAAAAGGAAAGACACAACATTGAACATTGAGCAATCCATTATACTTAAAAACTATCTTCAACTTCACAGGTGATTCCAGGTGACTGTCATACTATTTCAATGACTGGGTGGTACCTGAATAGTTCAAATCTGCAGCAGATGAGTCCTGATTTCATATTAAATTTTTTTTGTGTCCTTTTTTTAAATCTCTTCTTCAGTGAAACAAATATGATAATCAAAACTGCAATGTCAATATGTGCATAATAGTGATGCTTTGCTGACAATGAATGCAACACTAACATTGAATTCTCATTGAATGTTTGGGATTTCACATCCAAGGGGGCATTATTTTGAAGCAATGCTGTGTGTATAATGCAAGAAAGCTCTCAAAAGTCATTCATGTAATCATCACCTTTACTGTTTGCTAACTGACAAACTGTAGATATTTATGATGTGATTCAAAATTGAGGTTATGATTATTCATGAATTCCACTCAACTGACCTTAGTCATAGGCATAATTATTTTGAAAACCTGAAATTCTGCAATCATCCCAAATGTGACGCAAATCCTGTAATGCAGAGACAAAACAAGCAAGGCTCAGTATTACCTGTCAGATTTAGGGGAAGACGAATTTCTGCAGGATTATCTGTGTGTGACAGTGCCTATTCACTTTTAAATCAGGAGTGTTTAGTATGTGTTTGTAATCCACTACCTATTGCGGATGTTATGTACAAGTCTAAGCCTGAGTGAGATGAATATGGGCTTGGTCAGAGCTGAAAGCAGGCACAGAAAGGTAATTCAGGGATGCAAGACACTACTTCTGAGCCTGTGACATGTGCCAATGTGAAGACATAACCAACCACATGTTTAAACACTGAATTCAGAGGTCATCTTTCTGCATCTTATCTGGTCCAAGATTTGTTGTTTTACATTGTCTGCATTGGTAAACTATTTTAACTCATGGTTTTAAATGTATGACTGAATATAATGCTTTATACCAATGGTGAAATAATGTGGGCAAAGAGATTTTCAAGTGCAAAATAGTTGGTTTGTTGGAAATACTTAAAGTCAAGCAAATTATATCTAAAAATATGATTTATAATGTAGTATGTAAGCATATGCATTAGTGCGTGTAATAACGTAGGTTAACCTGCATAACGTGAGGTTACTTAACTTATAACCCCTGTTTTCTGAGTGAAGTGTATTATGACAATTGTTCACCATTGATGGCCAAAACGAATGAATGAAAGAAAACTCAAGAATAGAACATCAAACATGCAACAATTTGAAAGACATATTAGTTTTAAAAGACCTCAGATCTTCTCAATGTAACCCAACACTTTCGTGGATGAAATCAAGAGCTTGTGTCAATGTCTCCATCCAGTAAAGGGAATGGCTGTGCATGCAGAAAAAGGGAGCAATCAAAACCAAAACAACAAGAAATAAAAGGTTAAAGGATGTAATGTTCTCACATAACTTTAGTCATTCTGAAACAATTCCAACATGACGAAACTTATACATGCATGTTTATGAACTTTATATAATACAAAAGCAAAAAAAAGAAAAGAAAAGACAGTAAGCGACGTATGGCCTGAGTGTCAAGCAACTTGAATAAAATCTTGAGGGAGCACTCATTCATAAACACATTGGAAACAACCGTCATTGAACAAATCAAGCTTTGAGTACATACAAAAGTGGTAAGAAGTAGTGCCGTTATGTCATGTTAAGTTTCTGTGCGCTATAAACATGAAAATTTTATGAAAAACATTTTATAACAGAATACTCTCAAACCTACTGCAGTTGTTGAAATTAACATGGCAAACATGCCTAAAAAATACCACTTACCATCACTTACCCATCATCATGGCATGACATTTTTTTCACACAAAACAATGTTACAATGTTATAGGGTTTTTTTTGCGAAAAACAGCAAGGCCAAGATGGTCAAGTGTCATGATGTCAGAAGTCAACAACCATCTGCATCATAGAAAGGGGTTCAAATGTATTCTTTCAATTAAGACTAAAATGTTTTTCTGTGCTCTACATCAAAACTACTGAAAACATTAAACTCTGCATTAAAAAGTATTTCTGTTTTGATTGTAACAGTGCAGTTCAACACATTCAGAATTTTTGTTGGCCCAGTGATAACTGTAGTCCTCTGAAGACAACAATGACAATTCAAATGTGTTGTAAGTTCATAGCAGTCTTCTATTGAGTCCCCTAGTGTGTTAATACTTGTTATGCCATTCGCACTGACCAACACTCACCTCCTCAATGTCCAAGTTTTTTCTGGATTTGTAAATAAACTCTCCAATTGCTACAAAAACTGAGAGGACTAGTCCAGCTGCCAGCACAATAAAGATTCCCCCTATGTTCTCCACACCCAGAGCACTGGCCTCTTTGCTGTCCTCCTCTGGGCAGCCATTGCCTCTCCACCACTTCTCCTTCATCATGTGCAGTTTCCCTTCCTCCTGAAGCTGCAAGATGGCAATGGTGACCTTGTCTCTGTAAGGGGAGCCTACAGCAGGAAAACAACAGCCGTATTTAAACCATTACTGCCATTACCAGCGAAATAACCTTTGGGTTTGTTGTTTCATAGACATATAGGGAACATTTACTCGTCGTAATTGTTACTGTGTTATCTCTTACCAATTGGGGTTCCCACTCCATAGCCCTTTGAATCTATCAAGCCTCCAATCTGTGTCAGGTTGCAGTTACGCTGGCTGATGTACTCGATGCTAGTTGACTCCATTAGAAGAGCATAGTCTGTGGTGAGAACCCTCTGAATCCCCTCCCGGTTGTTTTTCACCAAAGCTGTATTTTTCCTGCTGCTCATGAATGCCCACATTTTCTCGTAAGTTGAGATCTTAGATTTCTGTTGAATCAGAATCAGAGTTTATTGATGCATCTCATTGGTCAACACAGCAACAACAACATCACAGAGGTTTACACAAAGCAGATAATATTGATACATGGTAATATCTGGTTGATACAGGGTTGACACTTGATTCTAATATTTTAAATGACACAGTATTTGGAGATTATCTGCTGACTGGGGCAATCATCGTGATGCATGGCAGGAGATGGGCTGTGACAAGTGTATACAAATCTGCCCAAGGTCATACATCTCTGCATATTCAGATAAACTGGTTGCGGTGCGACAGGCAAAACAATAAATCCTTGCAATTTTTATGAAAAACTGCCCGCAGGTTTTTGTTAAGCTGCATCTATGAGGAAGTTTCTAACATATTAACCTTTAACCCTACTCATTTTTCCCCCCAACTGCATTTTCTGCCAACCCATCACCCAGCACTCATCATGTTACTGTAATGACTAAGGACTGATGGCTCAAGGGTACAGCTTGTCAGACTAATTAAAATCAAAAGTTTTTGTTTGCATCCTTCCCCCACATTGGTGTACAGTTACTTTCCCATTTGCTGTACAGTGGAAAGAAGGTTACCTTAAAAAAGGTCATGGTGGAGCCGTCTCTTACAGCACCATACTCTATTTTTGTTTGCTTGGCCAAGTCATCTGCAGAGTCGATTGGTGAGTCCATTCTCTCCACAGTGAGGAAGGCAGCCAAGTTGGCAGTGTATGAGGAGATTATGATCAACGTAAAGAACCACCATATTCCTCCAACTATCCTTGTAGAGAGGGCCTTAGGCATTAGTTCTGATCCTGTAAGATAACAACACAAGGTACATTACAAATTCTACTAACAAATGCATTATGAACCAATGATAAATACAGTGCACAACAAACTGACTACCTTATTTTTCCCATGCACACCACAAACATTATTCTATATATGAAGGTGGTGGTTGAAGGTATTCTACCAAAGGGAAACTTTGACCAGGTATGAAAACAGCATAAAAATGTAATACAGTTATAACCTCAGTAACTATACCTTGCTGCATAAGTGCTCCAACTCCAAACCAGACACTATTTATTAAAGTGAAGTTGTTTTCAACCACATCTGAGTCTGGGTTGCAGGGGTGAGGGTTGTACCACTCATAGGGAGTGAACCTGAAGGTGAAGAATCAAACAGTCACAATTAATAATGTAAAAAAACAAACTATAATGACAAGATAATTACATATTAAGGTCTGTGGCAACACCTGGTATGTACTTATTGCTAACAGCAATTAGCAATTTTTCCATGTGCGCAATTAATCTATAGGTCCTTGTTGCAGCCAAAATGATAAACATTTATATAATGCATACAGGAAGTTAAAATGTTTAACCAAAGTGAAATTTAGCTTTTGGCTAAACAATATTGTTTAGCGCAACCGACCATAACGAACATATTAAGCTAACTGTAGCTTAAGTTATAGATACAGTATCTCACAAAAGTGAATATACCCCTCACATTTTTGTAAATATTCGATTATGTCTTTTCATGTGACACTGAAGGAATGACACTTTGCTACAATTTAAAGTAGTGAGTGTACAGCGTGTATAACAGTGTAAATTTGCTGTCACCTCAAAATAACACATCACACAGCCATTAATGTCTAAACCGCTGGCAACAAAAGTGAGAACACACCTAAGTAAAAATGTCCAAATTGGGCCCGAAGTGTCAATATTTTTGTGGCCACCATTATTTTCCAGCACTGCCTTAACCCTCTGACATGGTCTTGAGCAGCGCTTTACAGGTTGTCACTGGAGTCATCCTCCATGACAACATCACAGAGCTGGTGAATGTTAGAGACCTTGCGCTTCTCCACCCTCGGTTTAGACATTAAAGGCTTTGTGATGTGTTATTTTGAGGGCACAGCAAATTTACACTGTTATACAGCTGTACACTACTACTACTTATAGCAAAGTGTAATTTCTTCAGTGTTGTCACATGAAAAGACATAATCGAATATTTACAAAAATGTGAGGGGTGTACTCACTTTTGAGATACTGTAAATGCTTTTATGAATCCCATTTATTAGCATTTGCTTTATGCTTTTTACACATGTATACCGAGTAACATCTGCTCAACCTAAACCAGGGAACAAGTTTAATTTGTAGTAACAGCATCCTGGGTGATAAGTGGACCATTATTAGTATAGTACTTTTAGCAAAACATTTGAGTTCTATAAACCAAATCAAATTGTTTCACTTTTTCTTTGAAGTTGCAGTTTACCTGGCAATAACAAACAGCACACAGCTGACACCGAGGCATGCCAGCAGCACATACATCCAGATATCAGGAGACAGCGGGTTGAGGAAGGAGAACACTCCTGGATTGGTGCCGTTGGGTTTGTGGTAGAGGATGCTGATCCCCAGTGTCATGAAGGGCTTGGAGAAATCTATCACCTTCTCCCTGACATATGTGATAGTGAGAGGGGCCACGGCGAGGTCAGCCACCTAGCACAGAAAAAACCCATCAAGCAGAGCCACGGTCAAAGACAGATGATCAGATGATAACTCAAATATTCTCTCACTTATAATATTGATGGATACTCACATGGTCAATGAGTTCTCGCACCATGCCGTTCCACTCCCCCTTGTCATTCTGAGCTCCATATTTGCCATCAGACACCAGCTTTACCTCATAGGAGAAGCCCAAAATGTTGGAGAGCTCTTTGAGCAGGTCCAGGCAGTAGCCCTCAAAGCGATCATTTCCATACAGCGGCTTATCAGATTTCTTATACATGACATAAGGATTTTCCTGGAACAAGGCACAGTGTAGACTTCATTAGATTTATCAAGACATTCTTGATCAAATGTTGCCTGTCTTTTATGATTATGATAATGATCTTTCATACCAGAATAGTTGTCACAATGAGGGTCCTGTTAGCCATTGAGTCGGTCACATTGGTGGATAAGTCCCTATTTTTTTCTGTTAAATTAAGGCCTGTTTGGGAGTTCCACACGCCAATCTGTAAAGAATAAAACATCCAAATAACCACACTGACTTCAAAGATGCATAGTTGCCTGAGTCACCTTCACATGATCAAGGTAATGAATGCAAAGAAGGAAAAAGAAAACAGTACTAGGGTGAAAAATTTCAATGGAAGAACAAACAGAGATGAGATCGTGAGGGAGGGAAAAAGGAACAGGACATAAAATATTATTAACTTATTAAACTTGAAATGTCCGGTACAAAAGTGTTTAACATTTCTTCCCACCAATGCCTAAAACGATTATTTATTTAGAAAAAGGGGGAGACATCACACAGGGCAGCGGGTAGAGTAAATTAATAAACAGTGTCAATATTCCTTTAGTCCGCCAGGGCAGCTAAAGTACAGACCTTTTTCCACACTTTATTCAGGCGACTGTTGCCCGCGATTGTCTTGCAGAAATAATAAAGAGAAAGCATTTTAATTACAGAGCCCTGAGCTTTAAGAAAACAAAAAACAAAACAATAAACAATGGTAGTGAATTGGCTTAAAGAGAAATGTGGAAAACAATAACTCCTATGGTTAAAACTCTTATTTCATTTTAATTTCAACATTTACTTCCAACTGTCTTAACTTCAGTTGAATTTCTTTGTAGTGGAGAGATTTGTTATTAGCAGATAACAGACCTGCTAGTGACAAAAGTCAGAGCAGCAATGTCAATGTGATTAAAGCAACATCCACAAAGTTTTTGAGCTTAAAATGACAGCTACTATTTGTAAGAGCTATGTGTCAAAGCAGTAATAGGCATTATTAGGACATAAGATTTCAAGATACTGTATATTGTTTTACAGACAGGGAATATTTCTGCAACTTTAGGAAAAAAATGGGGTTACAAGTGAATAGCGGTAGCCCTGTTTGTCTATATGTCTGTTAAGCTCTGGGTGTATGTCTACAATAAAAGCCTGTACTGACAGTATAGACACGGGTCAGATAGTTCACCTTCTCCAAGCCATCCTCCTTTAGGCTGATGACATCTAAATCAAATTCTTTCCGCAGGCCATCTGTCTTGTTTATAATTATTTGTCCCGTCAAGCCATTCCATTGTGCCTGTGGCAAAGAGAGAGCAGAAAACAAAACCAATGAATCCTTCTATTTTATTGTAATATAAATAAATGCAAAATCTAGCAGCAGCCTGGCCAATGAAAAACAATTCTTAAAAATGAATAATTGATGAGTGCTACATTAAGCAAAGGACACTGACAAAGGCTAACTGCATCTTAATGGACATTTTTGCATTGGCAGGATCCTCAATGGAAATATTAAGTATCTCTGAGTATGTAACATGGTGGACGGTGATGTAAATAGAGCAGGCAGGCATGGCTCTCTGTGAGAGGAGAATGGGGGTGGGCAGCAGAGATCAGAGATATTTGAATGCAGTTGATAATGAAGTGAGCTCAGCTGAATAACAGTCAGGTTAAATCTCTATTACAGAGGGCTTAGAGAAATGAGCAGCATCTCAATTCTGGACGGACAGAGGAAGCCGAGAAGCCAGTTTCTTTATGGGATGATGGCATATCTACAAATCAATACACAAATTTGCCAATGTTCAGCCCATGGCATTTCATGATTTCATGATTCCTGGCTGCACATCAAATTGTGCTGAAAATATAATTAAAGGAACAGTTCACCCCAAAACACAAAGTCGTCATATATCAAGCCTTCTTAGAAACATGTGGAGAAGGTAGATCCAGGACTTAAACTGTAGCCACATTCATATTTGAGACTGTTGCATTGCATTTAAATGAAAAATAATCTAATTACACATTTATGAAAAGGCTTCAACTGTGGAAACAAAAGTATGCTGCTGCTCCCTCATTTACATATTATCACTGAGAAACTGGGTTACTTATAATAACATATACAACTTATTGTAAACAGTTTATTCCTTTTGCACAAACATAAGACAGTTGGTTGATGTTCTTAAAGTAGGTCTCAGTGAAAGTGATCACAACAAAGCCTGTGGATGCCTCAAGATTATTGTGAGTAAGCGTAACAGTAATAAACTGTTATTATGTTTGGAAAGGGACATAGCTGATAAGTTGTTCCAATGAACAGAAGCGAGAATACATTTGGGAAATAAAACCGTTACATGTGAGAAGAGCAGTGTGACTTGTTTATTGTTAAAGGACGTGTTGGGGCACTTGGAGTGACACAAACCAAATGTCACTGAGCGCATGGTACTGACAAAAGCTCCAAACCACCACAAATCAAACTAAAACTCTCTGAATGAATGATTCTGAGGTAAGAGGGAAAGGTTTAATTGGGGCTTAGTATGCATTGTCCCTCACTGCAGTTATTGATTGTAATATGATCTAATAAAAATGTGTGTATGTATATGTATATATATATATATATATATATATCATGTCAACCACAGGGTCGCGGGAGCCAATCCCAGCTGGGGAAAGGCGGGGTACACCCTGGACAGGTCGCCAATCCATCACAGGGCCATACATAGACAACCAGTCAAACTCATACCTAAGGACAATTTAGGGTCACCATCATGTCTTTGGAAGGTGGGAGGAAGCCAGAGCACCTGGAGAGAACCCACGCAGACACGGGGGAACATGCAAACTCCACAAAGAGAGGCTGGGACATGTGTATATATATATGTGTGTATATATATGTGTGTGTGTGTGTGTGTGTGTATATATATATGTTGTCCAACAGCAATGAGCCTTTGTTTTTCATCATCTTGTTCTTTCAGCCTTTAAACAGAAACTTACATCAGTCAGTTTGTAATTGAAAATAACTCTATTCAATCTACTGGAACAAAAACAAATCCTGGGTATCCTGAGCACATGCTGAGCTGTGGTATGTTGCAACGTGGACACACAAACCTAAGAGTCACTATTAAACATGACATTCACGGGGAATGTTATCCCCTTTGTGAAGTTTTTGATGAGATCTTAGGCATCTATAGAAGGTTACAGGGTATCATTTGGTGAAGTTGCTCTTTGATTAGACCGCTTCACACAGACTTATCACACACATCTGAGAGAGACCTACTTGACCCCTAAGTCCAGATTTATGTCTGTCATTAAGTCTCTTTATAAATCCTCAACAATCAGAAGTGTCTGTCTCAACCATGTGTTGGTGACATTACTGTAAATGCAGTGATGGCATGGATCTCTTCAGATTGGAGATTCCAGATGTTAAAACGGATAAGAATGAGATTTACACACACCACTGAACATCTATGAACATACTGGACAAACCATCAGCATCATAGTGAGAAAAACTCAATTGCCTTTCCCAATCCTCCCTCAGGGTTCTGTACACTAGCCTCGCGGACAAACATGCTCTGTATGTGCATTGGTAAATTTAAGAAAACAGACCCCAAGTGCACCAAGCTGAAGCTAATATTCTTGAGCTGTGAGTTCCTAATGAAACCTTGTCTGGAAAACTTAACTTTTAGTATTAAAGATGTAATGCAGTGTTGATTCCTGCAGGGGAAGTTGTCTTTTTGCCTTCCCTCCCCCATGAGAGCGGGCTGTGCAGCGCCCCTTTATTCAATGTCTTGCTCAAGGGCACTTCAGATAACAGTTAAAAAACTAAATATTACTGAATGAATTACTGTATATAACTATTTTGCATGTTATAACCAATTTAAAGTAACTTGACTTGACTTGGTATAACATGCTACTGCTGACAATTTTCAAAAGTGTACCAAAGTGTCTTTTTTTGTTTTTATTGTCCACCACCAAGGCAGTCACTTGTTTCTGTACAATGTCAAATTCACCTTGCAGAGACTTCAACTTACTATAAGTGATTCACCATAGTGAACATTGTGTCTGAACTGTCAAAGCTATAATTATTGTCTGGTAATCAGTCATACCTGACTGTTAACCATTGTAAAAGAAACACATACATTTACATTTAATGAAGCTTAAATTGTCAAGCTTTGGCAGAATCAACACGTCTCAGCATTACCACGCAATGATAACTGAAAAGAACAAGGATAGACAAGATGTTCACTGTGACAGACTTCAGAAAGTTTCATGTCTCACAAGTGATAAAATAAATGGACACAAATTGTCAAAAAGTTCCTTATATCAGTTTCAATATTTTGCCTGTTTCCTTGCCACTAACCTCTCGTGTCATTTCAGATCCTGCTCTTCTTTTACCCTCCAGCAGCTGTCCTCAGCTCTTCCCACCTTTCCCCAGTCACCCAAGTTCCACCTTCCCATACGCCTGCCCCTCATTCTCCTAATCGGCCTCCTCAGTAGATATACTGGCCATTTTCTCTCAGTTCCTGCCTGATTGCCTATTGTGCTTTGCTGAGCCTTAACAATGATGGCTAACACAAAAACAATATGGTAAGTATTTTTAAATTAATGTACCGTCAAAAAACATTACTGACAGTAATTACTGACAATTTCTGCTGAGGCTGTACAGCTGAAGAGTTAATTTACTCACACTCTGGGCTGTTTGGCATTGCCTGTGTCCTTCAATAATCTGTCCCCACACGCAATTGAAAAGCTCGTTTGTCAAATGAACATCTAAGTGGGGAGTGCAATATAACAAGAGAGCTTAATCAATTCAAACGAATATATCATAACAGAGTTGAGAAAGTCGGCTTCCACAGGTAAACTGGGATCATTTGCACAGGACGGGCTGCATTTTTCTTCAAACTGTAAGTGTCTGCTTTTTAATTGTGCTTCTTTCTCATTGTGTTCCTGTTCCGTTTGCTGTCAGATCAATAGTTAATGCAGAACTTAATACTTCTTTAATTTTTATGATCTATACTACAAGATACTTACCATTACATCCTTCAAACCTGACCCCAAAACTGAATTTTTTAACAAATGTAATGAGTATTTAAGTCTAGGTAATTCTCTGAGACCTTCTTAATCTTTATTATCTCATCCTGTTTGCATTAAACATTCATATAAAAAACTGCGGCTCTCAATGTGCAGCTCTCATCAGTATCCATTTGACAACCCACCAATATAATAATACAATTGTCACACACGTCGTTCATCACATCTGATCTCCTAACTCTATTGTTTCTGCTCCTGCACCCAAGGAAATGAGATGGAGGTAGCAGGCTGTGAAACGGAGAGATGGATAGAGGAAGAGGGGCGGGGGTCACACATTCATAAACCAAACTCACGTCTTTGAGCATGTTCATGAAGCGTGATCCAAAGCGCCAGGGTTTGTGTCGGTGGCACTGAAGGGAGCTGACAGTGATCTGGGAGGCGCGTTGCGAGGCAGCAGCCACCATGTAGACAGCGTCGTACATCAGAGCTGCTTCAGTCTGAAAGAGAAACACGGCTGTCATCATCCATCAGTGGGGGATCACAAATCCCATCATGCACTTATCACATCAGGACTGTGGAAATACATGCACAGCAAAGAAGGTTTCTCAAAAAACGCCGCACTAGTTATACAAACTACATGCAGAGCAATCAAACAGGCAACCACAACCAGACACAGTGTCCACAATTTGGTGAGCAATTTTATTCAAAGTACCTTCCTGATTGTACACACAATCAGACAGCAGTAAGGTGGATTGCTGTATTCTGACTCAAGTGTGGGTGATGAGGGGCTCCGATTGATTCTTTGTAAAGGTCATGTGCAGCTTCCCAAAATAGGCCAGGTGTTGATACATTTACATATGATCTCTCAGTGATTATCTCTGGATTTTTAGAATGGCCTTCGTTGATACTATATTGCAAGTTTCACATGCTAAGTTAGCAAAATGTGAATAAAACGAGTTCAATTTAACTTATTTCCCTTTGTTTGTGAGATGTTTTGTAAATGATGTTTGTTTCTTTACCCTTTCAAAATGTAAAGAACTGGGAAGCTTTAGTGACGAATGAAATTGTCTCATCGGAGAGGACATTGTAAACATGGGTGTCCCCACTGAGAAACAGAGCCCTTGGACTTGGTAGACATTTAACATGAATGAAGGGAGGAAGGTAACAGTAAACTCACTGTCATCATCCCCTCCATCATTCCAGTCTCTGCTTTGGAGGGAGCCTGCAGACGCTCCATGGCCCACCTCTCCACCACCGAGGCCACCTGAGGGTTGTCGGTGTTGAGTAGTCTGAACCCCGTCATGTTGACCCCACTGTAGCGGTATGGCTCAAGGTCGAGGGCGAACAGGTCCTGTAGATATACAACATCATCAGTGCAGAATGAAAGTGATTCTGCTTAAAAGTACCCAAAAGTAGATGTGACTTACTCAGTAAGGGTAAAGGACACTTGATTAAAACAGTGGAACAATATACAGTATAATACCATGGAATTATGCCAAGGGCACTGAAAACATCCAGCAATCTTATTATAAAACAAACCACAGATGTTTGAGTTCATCTGCATAATCTTTGCATAACAGAATCTCTAGGTGAACACACACATTTGAGCTTGCGTAGGATAAAGGACATTTAATTAAGGCAATGGCAGTGTGTAATTATGTGGCGTGTCACCTACATAAATATCAGGTTTTTCAATTCAGTTTCAAAGTGAAACCTTTGATAACAATTTTCTTACCAGGGTGGTGAAGAAGAAGTGGTAATATTCAGTCATCATCCCCATGGACAAGATCTAAACAGGATGAGAGATGAAGGAGTGGTTCACATTTTTCCTGCCGAGAATACATTCACACTAGAGTTTTGCTCCAGCCAGCATAAATAATCTTTTGTTTCCCTAACACCGTCCAACCATACCAATACCCAGGGCCTCAAATTAAACATTCCATCCATTTTATGAATTGCTTCATGTTGTATTGTTTGCATGGTTTGCATTAACAAGTATCTGTCACAATTTGCTCGTGTTAGCGTAGTGTTTCCAGTTAATCTGTGTGTATGTCTGGCTCAGAAATAGGCTCTGCTTGTATTTGGAAATGAACATTGGATTTCTGAAGGGGATAGAATCACCAAAAACAAATAAATAAATAACCCAGAGACTATTTTCCACTCAAAAATTCAAATTGGATTTTTGAGAGAACATTGCATTTTAGGTGTCAAATTACGAACTAAGCCCTGAGGACAATGACCTCAGTGCAGACTGCACGCTGGTAGATGTTTGTGTCATTCACCTGTTTGAGAACATCAGCTGATGTTTGGCAAGAGCAATCAAAGATGACATAGAATTCCTTCCCCTTTTTCATCTCTTTTAACAGAGGACGGGCATCTTTACTTCCTGTTGGCAGCTGGCGGATCTTGATTTTAATGCTGTATCTGGATGGAGCTTTGATTAACTCTTGCAAACGAATCAGTCCTTAAAATAAAAGACAAGAAGACCATCATTAGCCTCAACAATCACATATTTACAACAAACCCTCTGTAGGCATTTAACTGCAGTATTCTAAATAAAATGGTTATTTATGGTGTAGTCTAAGACAGATTGTGTAATTAAAACAATTAGTTTTGATTGTGTTTGAGTCTTTTGGTTTCATTGTATAGAATTTTCAAATTCAGTCTCAGTATATAATTTATCTGTTACAAAGTTTACGTGGCTTTTCTAAAGACTTAAAAAAAACTGAGTAGGCCTATGAGACGACAAAACAGCAAAACCCATCCAACAATCCACAACATCCACTGCTTTCAGATCATATAAGAGGAGCAAGTCGCTTTAATAAATGTAAATTCAGCAGGATTAGATACAATTCAGCACATACAATCTAGATTATTTTGTTAGCATACCAATACTACTTCTTCGTCTCTCAGTTTAATTGGTTTATTCTTATGTCCTAGTCCTAGGAAAAAAGTACCAGCATGACCACTCCTACTCATTCTGGTCCCAGTATTCCAACCAGTATTCCAATTCTTTCCTGTCCTGCCTTTTTCTTTAACTCCACAGTTTGCACACTTATCAATTTTCAATTCAATTCAAATTAGCTTTATTGGCATGAATGTGTAACAACAATATTGCCAAAGCATCATACAAACTACATAAGAACAATCAACCCCATACATTTCATTGAACAAGTAATTAAAGCGTATGTGTGTTTGTGTTAAAAAAAATCTTATCACTGTTCCTTTTTCCCCAGCACACAGTGCCATTTAACCCTGTGTGGGCTAATCTAAGTCTTGCTGCGATGATTTCCTCTTATCTGATCCTTTCTTTAAAGGACTTTGCTATGACTGCTTTTTGTATTTTGTGATGACTCCTTCAGTTTCTGTCTTCATCCCACTTGTTCTGCCATTACTTTTTCTTCTCCTCTGCCAAATGGTATTGGCACAGTTATTTCATTTTGTTAGGCCCTTTTGTGCTTGATTATTGGCATACTCAAACTATCACCATTTGTGTAGAGGTGCTTAAATGTATCCAGTATGGCAGTTCACAACCATTTTGCTGAGAATATTGACAGAAACTGTTTTGTTTTTGATAAAACAAGCCCTTGATGAGAAGCTAACTTTAACTGGACAGTTGCTATCAAGTTCACCTATCCTTTGAAGGGTTTGTTTTTCTTAAATTTCTAACCATAACAACTAGCATAATAATAATAAAATAATAATAATAACTTCGTGAGTTCATTTTTTAGTGCTTTGGTTTTGTCATTGTATATAGTGGTTACAGGAAGTGGCAGCATGCGTTTGAGTCTACACTTACGCCATTTGACTATATCAGTTTTGCAGTTCTCAACTGTGGCCTCTAGAGGGCAATGAACGCGCGATTTTAAAGACATCTCTGCCTAGCATCAAGGCATCATCAAACATTAACGTGAAAACATTAACATCCAGCATTCAAGCCCGAAAACTGTTAAATATTGTAATAGTTGTCTGAACTGCTGAACCTTTAATTTATGTATTTATTTTTTATTAAAAATTCCACGAACCCCTTGCATTTTACCTATTGTTTGTTACTGTACTGTAACTCTAAACTGAACATATTAAGCTCCATTGAAGAATGTGAAGTTGTAGTCATGTCACCACTAGAGAAAGTTTAAAGAACATTTTTGTTTGTTTCTGAGCTTCAGCATTCAGTGTTCAGGAAGTGCTAGCATAAACTGTCCTCTTTACATGTATGCTAACTTGACAAATTGGTGCCCACTGGAGGGCAACAAACATTAATTTCTAAATACATCCAGCTAAATCCCCATCGCCACCTTGCTAGTATAAATAAGGGTAGACCTTAGTGTAGGCAATTTAATCAAGAATGTTATCTTGGTAAAATGTTATATCCACAGAGGTGAACTTTATATCACAACTAAAATGCATCAGCATATCCAAACAATATCAATATAGAAATTGTATAGCCTAATAGTCCGAACTGCTGAACCTATTGAATTAATTAATGTTACTGGGTTTTTTTTCAGATAAACCCTTTACTTACTGTTAGTTCTGACCACAGTCTATAGTTGTGACAAGTATACACGTATATCTTTCATTTATGTCCACTGATCTAGGGTAACATTGTTTTTTTAAGCTTTTTAACTTGATTGATTTGCTATTTCTATAGCTTGTTTATATCTATCTGTATCATATTCCTACCTCTAGTTTCTGAAGATCGAAACATTTTATCTTATATATTTTTGTGATAAAAAAAAATCTGGATTGTTTACTGCCCTCCAGTGGTAACAGCGAGAAACTGCAACTCCAACGAAATTCGTGAAGCAACATCATTGCGAACACGATACATAACTTCCGGCAAAGACTTTCAAAATAAAACGTTGAACCTAACTTGTAGATGCGCACTTTAACTTCTGCTGGCATATTGACGCGTTCAAGCAGGCGTGGTTGGCACGTGCTTTTGTTGTGTTGAAGCGGGGGTTTTAACACTACAGTTAAAATAATGTTCCACAGCAGGGTCACTATTCCATCGGATTCTTCTCTGTCAAAATGACCTTTTGCATTACCGCCTCACGAACAACCAGACTGCCAGAGAATATTACTCCTCCGCTAGTATATTTATATTCCTCAGTTAATCACTAGCGGCCTGTATAACCGGATAGCGAACACCATCAGAACATCAAAGCAGGTGCTGCTGTGACTGCTGGCTGTGGAATCTGACCTGCTGCGAAGACTTGAAATGTGAGTTTGCAAACACACTATCAAAGTAGAAGTTCTTCCAAAGGTAAGACACACATCCCATTGCAGCACTATTGTGTGCTACAGTTTGAAGACTGGATAATTATGCAGCTCAGGCCTTGTTGCGCAGTTTGAGATGATTATAAACACATTTTCAAAGAACCACGATCACTTTGTGACTTTCATAAACTGCAGTTACTATGATCAGTGGCTGGTGTGATGTTTGGTGTGGCAGTCTGTTTGGTTTCAGTGAAAAAGTTGTTCAAGGTATTGTGATAGGCTGCAGCAGTCATTGAAAAGCAACACAAGAGTTTGATGTTGGCCTATGGTGTGACTACAGTGTTGTTTACAGTGTTGATATACTGTGTAAATCTCTGGCATTGTGATAAATTAGTATGATCTATAGAGAGCACTATAATTTATGGTGTAAAGGAACTGCAATGCGACCAATTGTGGTTTTTTTTGTTGTTGTTGTTGTTGTTTTTTTTAAGATGAATCTATTCATCATTTTGTTAATACAATGTTTGAGAATATAAAAAAAAATCCCAGAGCTCAGTCTATCATTTTCACAGTCCAAAACTCAAACACATTCACTTTACAATGATTTTAAACAATGCTAAGCAGAAAGTCCTTACATTTGAAAAACTGAAAAATAGCAATTCATCAGTTATCAAAATAGTTGTCTATTAATTTTCTGTTGATTGATTATATTATTAATCAACTATTTCAGCACACAGTAAAACACAGTAAAGCATTTTAACAATACACGCAGTAAATCCATAGTGTTATCCATATTATGTTAACTAATTTTAACTTCCTCACAGCGTTAATCAACATCAACATCAAAACAAATGTTTGTTACCTATGAGCTTTACAATGGAAACACCACATGGGAGTCCAAGACCATCAAGCTGCCAACTAAAGCATGAGAAAAATTTTAGAGCACCTCTTTTGTTTTCCCTGTCTGAACAGCACAATTGGTTAACATGAGCACTGAAAGGCATTGGTCAGGCAGTGCTTATGGGTTCTTTGCGGCCTTCTGTGTATCCCCAGACAATGATTTCACACCCAGTCTGCCCAGTCAGAGACAAAAAAGTAGCGGTAATGAGGAACGAGAGGTTGAGGAGCACAAGGGAGAGGGAGAGCAGCTCGTGCAGCAAGACCTCGGGTCAGCTCTATTTTGTCGTCCTCTTTTGTGGACTGACAACTGCCTTCACGCTACAGTGAGTCAGTCTGCATTCAGAATTGGGAAGTCATTCTTCCGACTTCGGTGTGTTCGTGAAATTTAAGTCGTAATGTGGAAACAACATGGACATTTCTTTATAGCGTCTGAGTGATGAGATGTTTTGTATGTGATTTTACCACCCAAGCATGCTGAAACAGTTTGAAACTTTTGTCCTGGATTTGTTGCTGCGCCATTAGGCTACATTCTCTAAAACCACAAAAATATTGCGTTACCTGAATTGTAATAAGGGTTAATGCTATGCTATTTCTCCAACACAATATGAATGCAGGGTCACTATCGCAACTTGAGGTACAATTACAAGACAGGACAGGCTGGGGCTAGCGGGTTGGCATACTAACTTAAGTAGATCTCTCTACAACACAATACATGTCTTTGACATGACGTCAGAACTGTTACTTCTTCACATTCTGTTCATCATGTTAGTTCACTTTTTGAAGGTTAAACAAAAATTCTGGCTAGGGCTTTACCGAATAGTTCGAAGCTGCGTTGTTCAAGTTCAAAATCAACATTCGAATGCTGCGTAGCCTATTACTTCTGCAGCTCACAGGGTTTGAAGTTGGGATACATAGCAACTAGGTAACGTTGCTGTCTCCGTCTCTCTCCTCTGCTCTCTGTCAGGTTTGTGTATGTGTTTGACTGAGGGCGGGGGCCGAGCTACACCCAGACATGCATGCACAGCAGACGGGATAAATCGTGGCTTCGGCTGCATGTACTCAAAATCCACTCAAAATCCTTGAGCGTGAGCGTGAATCCTTCCCGCAGGGTTTGTGTAGAGGGGTGCCCTTGTTTATTTGTGGTTTAGAATATAACTGCCATAAAACAATGAGAAAATTACAAAATTGCTTTTTATTTCTCTGATTCACTGCTTTGTTCTCTCTAACGCCGCTCCCTCTCCTCATTCACTCTAGCTGGCTCAGCACTGCTTTCTCTGTCTCTGTCGCTCTCGCTCTCGCACTCTCTCTGCATGGGGCCAACTTTGAATCAGCAACCAACAAATCCTACTTAATCTGCCTGAAAAAAAGACTAACAAATTTAATATGATGAATCACTTTATTCAAATATAAGATTTTACATTTTTGGGGGGTAATGATGTCATAAATGTGATGACAGACATTTGAAACTTCATTCGAAAACCTGAATAGCAGCTTCGGATGTACTAAAAAAATAAATTTTGTACAAAGGCGAATTTTGACCATATCTTACACGTTCTACCTTTTGAGAAAGACACAGCCTCAGGTTGTCTCATATTGGGGTAGCCCATCATTGTTCCTTCTGAAAAGCTGATTGGTTAAACTGGGGCACCTTGTTATCATAACCTAATCCCATTTAATTGTTCAAATCAGATTCCTCAGTGTCCAACAAACTATATACTGCAACCATTCTATATCACTTCTCAGCACTTAACTTGAAAAAAAATGGAGGTCCTTCTTGCCTACCACCAGCAAACACTTTAACAGTACATTCAAGTATAGTGTTCAGATTACACTGTATCACACAAATATGTACATTATCCACACAGGCACAAATACAACCATTTCCTACATTTTGTAAATGCACTCATATGGCTATAAGGTTTGTAACCATATGTGACATAACATCTAAGTTTGTGTGCTTCCTGCTGTGTTTTAATCACTGTTGACATATGCTGCTATACTGCTGTTCTGATAACTGATTTTCCCCCTGGGATTAACACCATATGTCTCCTGTCATCAAATCTCATCTTGACTTACCAGTTGCATCCTCATAGACAACAGTGACCGTCTTCCACTTGTAGTGCTGCACTATGTCCAGCACAGCTCGGCTTATGGAGGTGTATTCAGGATAGAGGTTAATGTAGAAACTGTCTTTGTTGTCAACTGAGGGGTGTTTCCAGCGCGTCTGGATGTGAGGGACTTCCAGGGCGTTACAAATAGACTGGACCGCACTGACTGATGAGCTGTGAGAGGGACCAAATACGGCCCCAACACCCAAAGCCAACTGGTCACAGGCTGAAGTAAGAAAAAAGTATGTGGAGAAAATGAAAATAGCAAATAACCAACAAGAGAGACACTATCTCTTCTAATGAAAAGCTTTCCGACTAAAATAAGATCATCCTTACCTCTTCTTGAGGCCTCAAAACTGTCAAACAGGTTTATTCTCTGGATGTCATAGGTTAATGTGGTGTTTGGCATTAAGGTTCGGTTCCTGTTTATGTTGGTTACAGCAAATTTAAAGGCCAGTTCTTCAACACTAATGGGCTCATTCTCAAGCGTCTCAAAGATGCCTCCTGGAGGAAGAGAAGAAACACAGGATTAGCCAGATCACTCTGAGGTAAAAGCAGGAAAGTTATTGATCAAGTGACTTCACTCAACATAGTTATTCACCTCCACTGCAGTGCGTTTTGTTTTTTTTTGTTTTTTTTTAAAGTTTGAAGGTTACCATGACCTGACAGTTGCATAATGTGGCCCAATTTTCTTTGTACTTCTACCACATGATGCTACTAAGGGACCGGGCTGAGATGACAGGATTTAATCTCATTCAGGGAAAAGCTTGACCTTTACTGACTTCACCCTATTTACATGGCTTAAATTCCACAAGCTGACACAATAGCATATGGGATGATTTGGTTAGGAAGAGATGCCACACATTCAGTTCATTATGGGCCAGCTTCACAGCGAATACATCTAGTGAGTTATCTACTAACACATTATTATGGCAGACATTTAACAGCATATCATAGCATCTTTTTCCTCTCCTTTCTAACTGTAATGAACTCCAGTGGAACAGCTGCACCCATTCACCTCACACAGTCCTATTTCCTATCTTTTCCAAATGACTACTCTATATAACAGTCACCGTCAAAGAAATCATACTTAAATGTGTACTTGCCAGCTAGTGATTTATAGTGTCACATAGTCAGGCCCCACAACATAATGTTATATACTGTAAAGAGGTTAAAAGTTAAGAGTTTCTGCTCAGGCTGCCAAGAAACTTATGCTGAAAGACCTATCTATTGTAATGTTTCTGATTAATTGCCCTCTTTATTTTGGACTGACTTTTCTGCTACCTGGATGTTTATGAAACCAGCATCTGTGACTTTGAAGTTCTTTGAAGTGCTTTTCTGCTGATATGACAACAGAATCTGCTGGTCATCTGCTGGTCATTCTGTACTAAGTGTTGTATGACCTGTAAAAACCAAAATGAAAATGCAAAGCTCTGTGGTGGCTGTGTCTCGGAGGCTAAATGATAAATCTTTTCATGTAGAAACTGCTTATTATATATTGTAAGACTAAACATTTTTAATGTACTAAAACATAATCATTAGTCATGCAAAAGGGATTTACTCATATCTGTCACTCCAGTAATAACTGTAAGTAACTTTAGAGCACCGCCGCGTTTAACATGGTATTTTGAAAGTGTAAAACTCTTGTGTTTTACATTTAGGGCTGCAACTAATAATTATTTTCATAATCAATTAATTGGTAGTTAGTTTTTAAAATTTCTGAAAAATCACAAGCCCAATGTAATATCACCAGAAACACCGTTTTGTTCCAACTAATATTTCAAAATCCAAACATAACAACTTTTCATTGTTCTGCATTTTTGCTTAATAAAGATCTAGCAGTTAATAGATTATCAAACTTGTCAATAATTTCCCTGCCAATTGACAAATCAATTACTGACTACCAAATGTCAGATTAATTTAAAAACATTAATCGAAAGTATCAACGTTTATCGTGGAAGGAATGACCAACATAATATACACAAATATTTTAAAGCAACATGTAACACTGGAATTGTCTGCTGCCCTTTCTGCATCTTTACAGAAAACTCCTAAAGGAGTTGAAGTCTGACTAGGCTATTTCCCATTTCTTGATGCATTCTTTTTTGACACAATCACTTTTCAACTGGCTGTGTGTGCCAGGGCCACAGGGAGGGGGTTGAAAAGATCATTCTAAAAACAACCAACTCTTAATCCACCGTGTTACTCCAGAATGATGACGGGTCTTGCTTGCCATGGCCGGCAATATGGTTATATATTACTCCAGCCAGGCATGAGCCCTACGTATGTTTTGCATTTCAGTTACATAAAGCACAGCATGAAACATAAGGATTAGGGTCAGAAAATGCTGGATTGCCACTGGATTGTCACCACCTGCATACAGGGCGGGCAGACTTATGTGAAATTCAGTGTCATCCCCGCTGAAAATGCCCCTGCACGTTGATTTCACCCAAGCCTTTCAAATGTAAATCATATAAAACATCTGGGCTTTCAGTGGTAGGATTTCTGAAATAATAAATTCAAGGTTAAATGTTTGTTCTCACTACATTGACATTCATGAGTGCAGACAGAAACAAGACCAGCTCTATACAAGTCAAGTTAAGTCAATTTCTCTATCCTAAAACAAATGTGAAACAAAAGTTTGCCACATACACATGATATGTCCTCCAAACAAAGCAAAGACTAATGACAGGTACTTTAAAAGCTCTGCCATTTTCAAAATTCAATAGTTACATTAACCATGAACACAAATCATAAAGATGCCATTTTGATGCTGCAATAGTTTGCAAATGACCTCACTTCAACACTGAGGCTACAGATGGTAATAGGTCATTGCACTCTCTAACAGTCTTTTGAAGAATTGCCTGTGAAATTGTGATTGATTTGGAAGGAGAAAGGCCCTTTAAAAAGCTCCCCTTGAGACCTTGATTGTGAATGACCTTTTTCTTTGGTGTAGCATAGCCTCAAACCCCACACTGAGAGGGCCTTGTCTGGACTCCCTGGTCACTAAACGCATGCTTGAAAGTGCCAATCCTAATTATGGTTACCAAGCCTAAGTGAGCAGCTGCTAAGACCTGTTCTAAATCCAAGTCCTTAATTCTATCCACTGGACTATGAAATTCTCAGGCCAAAATACAATAAACCTCTCCCAAATTTGCCAAGACAATGTATTCCATCTCAGCGTCTTTGATGTGACTTTTTCCTCCGAGGTATAGTCAATATAAAAGGGGAAATAAACATGAGTTTTGACCAGACATTCTTGATGTTTGTTTGCTTCAAGTGCAGTGGCTGAAGCAAATGTCACAGACCCTAGATACGATTTAACAAACAAAATAATCCAATTTGCAACATTGGGGCATCCTTTCCAATCAGTGATTTAGTTTTCCTCACATTTTAACAGAGCTGTAAAGATAGACAGTTTGGTTTGTGCGAAAAGCAAAAATAGCTGCTGCTATTTATATATTCTGATTTACATTTTTATAGTTGACCTCTAATCACGTGCATAATAATATGCATCCATTCCGATGCAAAAACTGAAAATGCAACCACAATATATACTGCAACATGAAACTCTAGTTATAACGTTTTATATTTGAAATGTGCTAAATAATCTATTTGAACACAACTTTTATTGCCAGCAAAAGACGAATATATCTATTTTATTGCACTGTTCACGTATTCATTTCCTATTTGAAGCTTAGTGGAAAGGCATATCCCACAGTGAAAGGAAGAAAATAACATGTATCTATCCACATTTCCACCTGTGATAAGATCTTAAATTTCTCTTTAAAGTATAATGAGTTTCTTGATTTCCAGAGAGCAACCCAGGGGATTTGGTGTGGCGGCAGTTTGTCTGTAGTTTAGTATGAAGAGATCTGGTCGAAGCAGCCGTCGCTAGTCCACATCAGCAATATAAAATATTGATGCTGTTTAAATTAACGATTTGGGTTAAAAAATGTCACACATTATTAATTTAAACAGGAAAGGGTTAGCTTGGCTACTGTGCCGCAGAGTACTAAAGCTCAGCAATAATCAGCTATTATAACCTCTGCCACCATCAACATCCAGACATCTGCAGTGAAGTAGCAACCATACTCTACTTCAGATGTGAAAAATAGTTACAGATTTTCATAATTGATATCCAGAGCAGCAGTTTATGATTTCCTCAGCCTTTTAGGCAGTCATTTATTTAAGTTGAGCAACCTAAAATCCTGGAATTGTCTAAGATACCTGGATATACAGTATTTCAAATCCATCTCTTTGCCTGGTGGAAACCCTTCACCACACCTGAGCATCCGAATAGGCACATAATTAGTGTTTCAGATTGGAGCCCAGCTAATACCTGTATAAATATTTGAGTTTTAAAAAAAACGTATCGGCCCATATTCATTTTTTTACATAAATATAAGGAATTAGGTAATTAAAGAATTGAGTGGCATATTTTATATAAACTCGTTAGTTGTTTCAGGTTGACACCCATTTTTGGCATTTCTGCACTGCAATTTCTGGTTATTATTAATCGCCATATATGTAATATATCTGTGATAAGCTAATATTGGACAATTTATTGTTCTAGCTCTACTTCAAATAAACAGTAACAATAAAAAAAAAAGAAACCAATGTTTAAGATGATTAACCTTTTAACCTCACTTATTTAACTTGCCTCCACTCTGACATTGATGTCATGCAAAACATGATCAGTAATTTGAGAAATTATGTTTATAAAACAAGACTAAAATGTATAGTAAATAAATGGATATCTTTTGAGGAAGAAATCAATTATGTGTAGCTTTTGCAACATGACACTGCGCCCTGTAAACAATTCTGCTAGAACACAAGCTTGTAGCAGCACGGTGTGGTCTATATAAGCGTAACTCCAAAAATGGGTCATGGGAACATGGCTCAGTGCATCTTTTTCTACATTGCAATGGAAGAGGTCATTTTCAATACTGATGCTGATTAAAAAAGGGAATAAGCATCTGACACTTTCTGTTTGCAGATGACACATGGATCAATGCACTGACTCTATAGGATATGAGCAAATAAATGAACTGGAAAGTCAGAGCTACTTGGGATTCAGTACGTTTGAGCTTATAGGTAGGTAATAGGATAAAGTTAGAGCAGAAATCATTAGACAAGCTTGGCTAGTGAGACACTTTATGGGACATTGTAAAAAGTCAAGAATGCAATCATCCATATTCAATCCTCAGAAATAAAATAAACGAGCTATGAATACCTGTATATTAAAACCCAGCTTCTTTTGCAAAAAAAGCTTCTTCCTTGTTATTTGAACACTACAGAGTTCACTGTTTTTATCAGGGCTTTATGATTAAACACAATTTATAAAGAAAGGAGGAATTAAAATTCTTGTTATGGCTACCATTAATTACTTTCCAATATAATTTTCAGGATCACTGAGCTTCGATCTCATCTTTAATAGGCCAGACAATGCTGTAGGGTGATGCATGCTAGGAGGTCACAAAAACAAAAGATTCTGCTCGTGCTGCAGGCAAGTGTTGCTAAACCCTTAGGCTATGCTTTTTATAGGCTTCTGTTCCTCCATTCAGCATAGAGAGCAAGAAAAATAACAGGGTTTAGTTTTAGGCAGCTGGGTGGACTTTTTTAAATCCAGAAACCCAAACTAAGAGAACATTAAGAAACTGATCTTTAGATCCTGATTCTAAGTTGTGATTTTGTAACTGTGCAATTATCACATGAAGGAAAGTCTTTTAAGCCAGAGGAACACAATGACGTAGTGTTTTACTTTCTCCCTTCTCCCCATCCTGGGCCAGTTCCCAGTGAGACCCCCCTCCCCCACCTCCACAACACCACCAGCACCACTCCAACCTGGCCCCATGCCAGACTGTGAATGAATGAGGAGATCCTAACCAGTCTACTATCTTCGTTTGATGTGGAGCACTGAGGTTTCTCTGTTTATAGGATAGCTGCTTGTGACCCACCACATAAACATTTAGTCCGATAAAAATCAGGATTATAATCTGTATCAAATCCACCTAATTTATAAAACGGCTGGATGTCAAACTACTGCACAGGGAGATTATTAAATCAAATGACTTTAGCTGACAGTAGCCAATTAAACCTTTCACATTGTATCATAAATTAACAAATCAGATATCACGATACAAAAAAACATGACGAATCAGGAATTTAACAAACAGAAATATAAAGTGCTTCTCTGCTCTCCCCAGTGATGAGATTTTGCCACTGCCTAAGTACCATATTTGGGGAAGAGACTTTCTGCATAAAGAAGATTAGTGCTAGTTGTTTAAGGGCTTGGGAGAGAAGATTTACCATTATTACCAACCCCAGTGAAAAGAGTGGAAGCCAGTCACAATCTGATGCCTGCACTTGCCAAGACAGAGAAATGTTAATTGAACCAAGCCACACACCATATGGGAGAGATTATAATGTGTGGGGGTCATGAAGAGAATGACAAAGATTAGGTGGCCTTGGAGAGTGATAGATGATTTAGAGAGATTAACAATATAGAGCACAGGATCTGGACTGTTAGAATGGGGAGGTGGCGGTGGCCTATTAGCCTTTAAAGTTATGCAACGCCACAAGTCTGATAGTTAAAGTCTTTAGAAGTAGAGGAAATTCGAGTCGCCCTGGGCATTGAATGAAGCAGGGAGTCCTGAGGTCTAAATTAAAAAAGTGACGCAATCTTCTAACCCATGAGAGGGATAGTGGATAATCAGTGGGAGAGAAGCAGACAGCATTAATTTGCTAGCAAACACCAGCTCATTGTTACAAAGTTACATCAGAAATCAAACAGGGAATCTTCGGAGCAAGAGCTCGTTTGTCTAATTACAAGTGCAGAGTGAAGCTGAAACCAGAGTTCTTGTCAACTCTCAAAGGCTTAAAAGACAACTTTGGACTCAGATCCACATTCACAGATGTCACTGGCCATCAGCATACATATGCACGAACACTAAATAACTTTTGAGGTTGTTAGGTAGAAAAGAAACCAAATTTAATAAAGTTTCATTTAGACTGTTAACTCTTTATTCTTTAGCTCTGTATACATTTTACATTCCTCTGTGCCAAAGACCTCATCATGCCAACAGTACATGCTGTCAGATGCAGCAGTAGGCTAACTTAATCACTCATCTGCCGCTGACCTGCGCTGTCAACATGGAGGAACGGAGAGAGAGAGAGACACTGGCATTAGCCAACCAAAGGTGATTAACATGATTTTGATGAAAATCAATAGAGTTGTTTCACATGGACAATCCAGCACTCTTTCCTCAGTACCAACCTTGTGGAAAAATACAAAATAGTCCAAGAGTGAAACGTTTAAGGATATTGTATAAACATCACAATAATATGAAAAGTCTCTACAGGATAAAAATATTTTTTTCTAGTGAAGCTCAATATAAGATCGCATTTGAAAAACAGGCATGTTGCTGTATGCTGGGTATTACATGATACTGATAATATTATTGCATGATACAATAAGAGCAAAGAGTGTTAAAGTGACACAGCAACATATAAAACAAGCTAAACTAAAACTAAAATGCACCACAAATGTACCACAAATGAGTACCTGAACACACTGTGACTTCCTATTGCAAGTTTTGGTTGATAGTGCCAGGAGTTAAATGTTATCCTGGAACCATTAACTTACCAACAGCATCTGAGCAGCACAATTGCTATGCATGGATATCCTTGTGTGACATGTATAATCTCTGCATTTGTTATCCTGGCTGTCTTTAGTTAAATTTAATTCTTATTTGTTAATTTTAGGAATGAAACAACAGTTCATGCTCCATAGGCATGTTGAGAGATTAAAGACATCATACATTTTAATAATGCCACAAAAAGCCAATTTATTTTATCATATGCCGGCTATTAAGAAATCTGATGATTGTATAGTGGCAGTCTGTACATTAACAGTTAATAGGAATGACATAACAAAAAAATCTGACAATCTTAACACTTACCAATTCTCAGGACCTGCTGTGAAGTGAGCCAAAACTCTGCCATAAAGTACAGCAGTGGAAATAACAGTCCCTTCCTTTTTGCCATGGTCCTCCCTCCAAAGTCGAATTTAACATTGATATCAGTTTTTCCGCCCTTAGTAATTCATGCTTATAACTTGCTGGTCCTTGTATCCGTAACGAAAACAAACTGCCATCGGACCCACATCCATGCCTCACACATTTTGATGAGAAAAAGGTGACAACAAAAACTCACAATCCACATGCAGCTGTCACTGATCAAGACACCTGTCTTCCCATTCTAAAATCCTTAATGTGCCAGTAAGGTTTTGCTCCCCATATTCACTGTCCAGACGTCCCCTGTTATCATCTTTTTTTCTGGTGCACACTTGAATTGGAGGCTGCAACTGAGGAGGAGGACCGTGCGCTCTGCTCCTCTTGTCAAGCATGTGCACATAGAAAATGGCGTTTCTGGTTACAACTTTCAAAATAAAAGATGAATTGGCAACTGTGGGGCAGCAATAGAGAAGATCAAACAGGGTTCATGTACTTCAACCTTAAAACCTTTATTTTGAACAAACACAAGAAAGCATCCAACACAACTTTGCTACAGACCATCACACAGTAGTTGTATTCATATTTGAGGGTTTATACATAATTCCCCGTTAAATATTGTTATATATTTCTTATTTGTTATTGAAAAAACAACTTTTTCTCAGTGCTGTGTCTATTTATATATTTATTAAATCTTTCATTAGCCACACTTTTGTACGATTTAGTCCTGCACATATTCTATTTCAATGTTTAGATGAACTTTCTGCTTGTGCTGGCTCACAGTTTACCCATTATTTGATGCTATTATGAAATCAAGCCTGCCTAGTTTCCGGTCACATTCTCACTGTCTTTGTCTGACTTGACACAGCTGAGTGTCCCTCCCGTGCAGGCGCTCAATTGAGGGCACAGCCAAACCCCTAATCCGCAAACATGGATACGTCCTAAAGATTAACTTCAAATCTGGCAACATTCGACCTCGACAACGTCTTTGCTTTGGTACACCGAGGAATGATTAAATCTTTGCTCCAGTCCTGATGGAAACGCAAATCTAATCCTCAAACTGGTCTGTGAAGCTCCCTTGAAGATTAACTACCTCAAACTGTTTGTCTGACACAGTGTCATAGTAAAATAAAATGTGTTCACATTACCGTAGCCCACTTTTCTTTTTTCCTTGAATTGTTTGGGGTAGTGGTTAAAAAGTTATTTTGGTTGCTTGGACCAAAAGCCGATAAGCAACTGGTAATTCAAACCACTTCTTCCCAAGCAAGGAAGAAGCATCAGGGGTGTTTCATGTGTTTCTTGGGATTCGTGTAATCTCACTATTATTTAATTTCCTGGGAATGAACAAATTGGAGACTGATCGTTAAGAATCATTTCTTAATATAACTTCTTGATTTACACACTGACAGCAAGAATATCCTCAATTTGGGGTTTCCTGGGAGAGAATATTTTATCGAAAGGTGCTGTGCAATTTGAAGTCTCTGTGCAATATGGCCATCTTGTTTTAACATCAGCTAACCATTTTTAGTAAAACTATATTTTTATCAAATAACAACATCCCCTAATGTTGCACGTCCAGATGGCAAATATAATAATGCAATATAACATAATGCACTCACTCCGCCAGTTTGCCTTTATGGCCTGTAGTTTAAAGGTTTAAACCTGGTTTTCAATTAATTCCCTTAATATGAAGTTGCACGTTCTCTGGCATCATCTAGTGGTGAATAATGACAGTGTCTATCATTGCTTCAGGCCACCATGGTATTAGCTCTGTCAGGAGATTGCAAGTATGTTTGCTTGTGTCAAGCAGTATTCACAATACATGGAGTTTTTGCTGCTGTTATTTAAATATTCAAACCCAGTTAAATAAATCTCATCAATCCAGGAAGTCCCACTTATAAAATTAATATATAATTTGACAGAATTAGATTTTGAGTTCAGTACCATTGTCACACAAAAAATACACTTCAAAGCAACATATTTGCTGCTACCACAAGGTAGAACCTTTATTTTTTTAGCATTGTTAACATTTTTTCTTGTTGTGTGTTTTACTTGTTTATTTCACAGATAGCCTGTCCTAGCAGAAAGCATGGACCATTTACATGGAAACGTTACAAGTTGCCAGTCCATCATAGGGCTAAAACAGACCTGAACTACACATCTTTGGAAGATGGCTGCCTTCCAGGGAAACATAAATCATCCCCACAAAGCCAAAGTTGCTGAGTGAACTGCTGCTAAGCATTACTAGGCACTAGTCGCCCAAACTTTTCTTTTAATGATAACTGCAAATTAACCAATAACTATAGGTAAGAAGGTTATTTGATTATAAACTTTAGCGCTGTATCACTGCTGTTTGAGTAGTTGCTAAGAAATCTTGTTGATAAGATATTAAAAAATGCACTGACACACAAAAACTGATAACCACAATACATTTCAAAATATAATGAACAGATGATTACAAAGATGTAAAACATAAGGCTATGGTGTTCCAAACAGATGATTTCTCATAAACCTCTATTTTGGGAAAGTAAGCCCATACCAGGGCTTCATGAAAACAGTATGATGTTGCCTTTATTTACACTAACAACATCAGCAGTTATCTTCAACTTGATCACAAAAAAGTGTGTTAATAGTAGGAAATTGTTAAACGCTGTTTAGCCTGTGGAATATAAGCAGAGATAACATTACCAGAATTTACCTTCATCTTGTCACTAATATGCAGCAGTTAAAATTAACTTAATTTTTCCTTTATATGTATACACAAACACTGCTCTCACTGTGAGAATTTGGTTGAATTTGTGATGCTTTATATCCTATGAAAACAGGAGTGTGTGGAACCGGATAAAAACTGGACTGGTAGGAGGTAGTGGGATTGTCGGTGTAAGTCTGTGAATATGGCGTGGTGTTTTGGCTGATGTACAAGGAGTTGCCGGATGTAAATAGGCTTCCAACTGGGCTAGAACTCTTCATGAAGGAGTGGTACCCTGCTCCCTGATATAACAATGATGCATTTTCAGGCAGACCCGGGATGGAGTTTTTTAGTGCTCCATCATTTGTCATTACTTGAGGGATGTTATGCTGTGCAGTCGCAAGTTGTTGTCCAATAGATCCAATCGGCAGAGATGGCTGGTAGGCAGTAGATTGGAGGCTAGGAACACTCGAGATGGGATGATAGTTTATTACAGATCGCTTTCTGGGTTGTGGCTTGTAAATGAGCAAGTTGTCTGGGTGGTACACATCGTATGAGCCTTTGTCTGAGGGCATTTGGCGGCAGACAAACAACATAGCTGAGACGAAAAGGAAGCCGCTGGTCACCCAACCAATGTAGAGAGCCTCTCCCAGCTCACTCCTCTGGGCATCGATTAGCAAAGGATTGTAAAAGTCCCTGATGATGACATTACCCGTCCACGACACAGGGATAAGGACACAGATACAGGCCAAGAACTGCATACCACCTGCAACCATCAGGATCATGGTCTTAGCCCGATGAGTACCCTGAAAACAGGAAATACACCGCATTCCTGCCAGAGCCACAAGGAGTCCCACCCCCGACAAAGCCAAAGAACAGCACATCAGACCCCTGGCTGCCTGTAACTCTGGGGGCAGGTACAGCACAGAGTCATACACTTTACACTGCATCCTGATGTTGGCCTGTCGGTAGCAGTTCATCCACAATCCTTCCCAGCGGGTTTCCATCACAATTATGTTTGCCCCGATGAAAGCTGTCACCTTCCACATGGGCAAACCTGTAGTAGCCGATGCCCCTATCAGTCCAATCAGGCCGACACACACTGCGGCTATCTCTGAAGCACCTTGAACCATTGTGCAGTGTACAAGAGTCCAGCTGTGTCTAACTTCAAAATTAGGTTAGCTAATATTGACAACAAATAGTAAGAGAAAGAAATGTGTCCAAGGCAGCGAGGATCTTCTCATTTGGAGCAGTTTCAATGCTGTAAAAGATGGTTTGTTATGGGAAAGATGCTCTGTGGTCAGCTGATTGGCCCAGAGCAATAGGGGACCTTTCTTTATTTTGTGTTTATGGTTCATCTGGCTATAGTGGGTATATCTGTGCCATCAGCTTCTCCAGCAGTAAACACTGACATGTTATACCAGAAATACCAGAAACGGTTCACAACTTCAGAACATTTTCATCACCTGCCATGTTTTTATTCTCCATAATGATTCAGAAGCAAACAAAGATACAATGTAGCGCATAAGCTCCTGCAGTACTTCTGTTGTCCACAGGGGAGCAGAGATGACTTTCAGTGTGATGGAACAGAGAGGGAGCTCACATCACACAGTCCAAAAACAAGTATTGATTGTTGAGTTCTAGAAATATATTTTTGTAAATCACAAGTTTACACTAAAAAGACAAAACATGGATAAACAATTCATTCTGATCAAACCTTAAGCAACAAGAGAGAAAGACAACATTGTCATTACATCAAAATATTTTCAGTATGAAACAACTATGGAATTACTGGACTTACTTTGACAGACCCTTGCACGGTGTGGCTGTATGTGTGTATTTGTTACTGTTATTACATCCAGTGCATTAGGAGTTGACATTCTGTTGTTGTAATTTTGATTACAGTGTGCTTTTAAAGACGCTGAAAGTGAAATGAGGTGACCTTATAGTTCAAGAGCTAATTTACTTTACTAAACAGAGATGTTTATGATGATGTTTAGATGTTTAAATGTTCTCTTATTGCTTATACACATGGGGCTGGGATCAACATGGAAATTAACTAGACAATTTTTGGTCTAAAGCTCACTGTAACTCCATTCAAAGTGACTTGCAAATTGCAAGTCACATGATACTATCAGGCCATCTCTGTCTGGCTTCTTCAAAAACACTAAGCTGACCGGTTAAGTTTCCATTGGGTCCACACCTTTTACAAGCAGTCATAAACCTGTATCTAACATTTACTTAGCCATTAGTTCAGTCCCATCAGTTTCAAAGAGCTTCAGGGCATCATACCAAACTTAAACAAAGAGTGATTTAAGAGATGTTTTGAGTACACAGAATCAGTAACCGATATTGCATTAACTGCCTAAGGGTAGTACTTGTACCTCACCTGCTTTGCCTTTGTGCATACTGTGTCTAACACTGGTTAAAACTAGTAAAGACTGGTAAAACAGAGCAGTGTGTAATAGGGTGATTGGTGCCTGTGAGAGGTCATTTGTGCCAGACAGATTTAGTGTAAAATTGTATACACAACTACACAGCTAATGTTGGTGATTGAAGGAAAATGGACTGTATTAACTGTTTCTATAAATACATTGCTCAGTCATGTGTCAATTACAACAAATAAACTCAAAGGTTGCATAAATTGTTATATACAGCATAGACATACAAAATTGGTACCTAAATATACAAAAAATAAGACTCAGTACAAAATCTGATTATACAACACACATAAAAGTGATAGAAATCATGCACTGCCTTACACAGACTAAGTTATAATTATGAAATAGGTTGATATTAAGATTCTTTAATTGTAGTGCATTTTAACAAGGCATTAAAAGTACTCCTCAAATAATGTATAAAAAGAGTGCTTTAAAACAGACATCTATATGAATCTGATCCATTTGCATTTATAGTAAATGTATCCATTGAAACATCTTGTTTTTCTTTTTACCTGAAATGCATCTTTTGACATTTGAAATGTGTCATAGTGTGCACTCTAAACCAAACCCATATTAAAAAGAAATCCTTTTGCATAAAGTGACCAGAACTGTGATCATCATTGCCTCAGTCAGTGTTCAGAGATAAGCCACCCCGCTGCGTACAGAGGGGTATCTGGAGTTGTAGCTGTAGTTGGTTGATGGATGTCTTGACAGCACTGGCTGAAACTGGGGTTGTGATTGAGGAAGTACCACCAGCTGTTGAGGCTGTAGAGGCTGTGGAGGATAGGCCATGTAGTCAGAGTTCCTTGAGTACACATACCTCTCTGAAACTTTGCCTTCAGACTCCAGATTGCAACAAATGAAAATGCATCCTCCAGAGAACAAGAAAGCAGAGGCCACCCAGCCGATGTAGAGAGCCTCTCCAAGCTCCCGGCGCTGGGCGTCGATCAGCAAGGGGTTGTAGAAGTCCCTGATGATCACATGGCCTGTCCAGGACACAGGGATAAGGACACAGAAGCAAGACAGCATGATCAAGCTTCCAGCAATGATGAGGACCAGCCGTTTAACCCGATCATTGTTTTCAAGACATGACGTGCACTGCAGCCCCACCAAACTGATCAGCAGACCAATGCCAGCCAGCGCAAGAGAGCAGCACATGAGCCCCCGTGCCGCCTGTAGGTCCGGAGTCAGGGCCAGTAGAGAATCATACACCTTACACTGCATTCTGATGTTGGCCTGCCGAAAGCAATTCATCCACAGACCCTCGTAGCGAGTCTCAAACACAATGATGTTTTCCCCAATGAAGGCTGTGACTCGCCACATTGGCATCCCAGTGCTTGCTGCTGCCCCAATCAGCCCAATCAGCGTCAATATCAGTCCCACTAACTCTAGTGCTGAGTTGGCCATCTTGTTCTCCTCTTATTCCTCCGAGCTCATACGTTCTGTAAAGTCGGGACACAGTGTGACTATAGTAGGAAGCAGTAGATTAGCTCTATGGAATGGTTTGCATCCCAGTGGAGGAGGAGCACATTGATCCTAACCTGTACTACCTCCTCCCTGTGGAAAGGACACCAGAATGGGAGGAGTGGGAATTGCGACCTGTTGCTAGGAAACGGCTTCCCCCGGGCCTTTTTTTCTTTGTACACCTACCTAGCTGCCACTTTGTTTATTCAGAAGTCTCGCTTTACATTCTCAGATTACACTTTACAAGGAAGCTTTAAAAAATGGAATTTTAAACCTGAGCAGCCTGTGGCTAGCTATATGCATATAAAAATAAAGAAAGTTAATGTTTTGCCAGTTCTAACTATAGATATCATAGACTGCAATCAACTCTTGGGCTTAACCTGGGCTCTGTCCTATTTGAACTCATAATCATTCACCATAATGTGGAGTCCTTTATGTTACAGGGAATTATTAAAAATCATAACTGAAATGGGACTGTAGTCACAAAATATTAGTAAAACGTATACACCATTTTTGTGTGTGTGTGTGTGTGATGGAAGTACTTATGTACCCATGTGTCACTGTCAGTATTGGATTTCTTGTCTGGGTCTCAGAATGAAGCTGGCAGTTGCAACTCTGGCGTAGCTAAAATGAAATCTCTTGGCAGCTTTGCATTGTGGGTGGACCAGTGTGAACTATCAGGTTTTACCAGTTTAGGCACATTTCCACTGAGAACAATGGAGGGAACATACCAACTTAACATTTACACAACAGTGAAACAGGAGCAGTTTCAGTAGGAACTTTTCAGTCCCACACAAACTCTAGAGCTTTTGGCAGGAAGTGAGACACTAGCCGCCATCTAAGCAATACTTCACCCTTCTTTACCTTTGTTAATTAGGCAACAGCAAAAATAACAAAGTTCTCTTTCACTTTATCCCTTTATTGTAAACCACAATTGACTTTATATTTAGAAAAAGTATACATTCACAACAAAACTCAACAGTGAAAACAAAACATTTGGGGGCATATTATTTGAAAAAGGCCCAGTGCATCATTTGTTTTCAAATAACATGTTAGCAAGGGCTATAAAGACTATAATATTTACAGATAACTAAGATAACAGTATTATTACAGATTAAAAATACTATCCCGAATGACTGATATAATATAGTTTAAATTAAGCACACAGAATGCAATAATTCCACAAAGTTCATCATTAAAACACAATCACTTTCATAATGAATTTCAGTTTCTGTAAAACACTTGGCCAACTTTAAGAAAGTAATAAAGGATTTGAACATTTCCAGTTTGGTCATATTAGTCAGTTGATTCTTGCCATTCAAATGTGCCAAATTAATTTTTAAAGAGTCCAAAATTGTCTCTGTGTTTTATTTTCCTCACTAGTACTGACTTGGCGTGTATGCTACCGATCCTGGTGGGGGCACAGAGTAGGCAGGCTGGTAGGTGTACGCTGGCTGGTACGTGTATGGCTGATATGTGTATGCAGGTTGGTAGATATTTCTGTCTTGGTTGTATACAATCCTCTCTTCTGGGTCTTGGGTGCGGGGAGCGTGACGGCACAGCAGGATCACTCCGGCAACAAAAAGCAAAGCTGAGGTCACCCAGCCGATGTAAAGGGCCTCCCCAAGCTCCCTGCGCTGGGCGTCGATCAGCAGAGGGTTGTAGAAATCTCTGATGATGACATTAGCTGTCCAGGACACAGGGATTATGGTAGTGAGACAGCCCAAGAGGAACAGACTGCCTCCAGACACAAGAACAATATGCTTGGTGCGAGCCCTATGGTCCACCACTTTGGTACACTTCATTCCCACTGCTGAAACGACGAGAGCGATGGTGGTCAGGGCCACAGAGCTGCACATGAGACCCCTAGCAGCCTGGAGGTCCGGGGGCAGAAATAGCAGGGAATCATACACCTTACACTGCATCCTAATGTTAGCTTGTCTGTAGCAGTTCATCCACAAACCCTCCCAGCGGGTCTCCATGACGATGATGTTCTCCTGGATGAAGGCTGTTACCTTCCACATCGGCAAGCCTGTGACTGCTGCCACTCCGATTAGTCCAATGAAACCGATGACGAGGGCCACTACCTCACAATAGATGGCCTCCTGGCGGTCCTTCTTCTCAAGTCTCTTTTTTTCCTCATATACAGAGTCTTGATAATCTGTATAGGCCTTGGCTTGCTTCTCATCGTAGTATGAGCCTGCGTAAGATTGAGGTGGCTTCCCGTAGCCACTGTAAGCTGTGTATGTGGCCATTGCGGCTAGCACACAGAGAGGCAAAAATAGACCTGGCTGCACTTTCCCAGCTCAAGACACAACTGTGAGGAGATGAGCAAATCAAGGAAGTTTTACATGCACAAAATATGCTAATCATGCAATGCAACCATACTGGTTGAGCTGCTTCCTGTCAGATAAATGGGTACACACCTAAGAGGGCTGCTTGTTTTGAATGCAAATGCAATTGCCACTTTTAACTATTAACTAAAATTGTCTTTTATTTGACCATATGAGGCATAGTAATGCAGGGTCATTTTGTAGGCCTGGCACGAATGGCATTTTCTGAGCTTTGAAGCTTCGATAGTAATTAACAGTGAATAATTGAAGCTTCGGCGGTGGGGGGGGGGGGGATCAACAGTCAACGCCAATAGTTTAAACGTCTGTTGATAAGTAGGCTGTCATATCACGAGCTAGAGCTATGTATTTTATAGATAGAAGAAGGATGAATGCCCACGAAGTTCTGGCAATGACACGAATGAGGGAGAATGCGATGGGGAAGATATAATGGCAGTCGTGTGTATGAGTCACTGTCTGTGTGTGCGTGTGAGAGAGAGAAAGAAAGAGGGAATCCTCTGTTTCTTAATTCTCATAGCGTAGGCTAACTAAAACAGCAAGTTATTATTACCAAAACTTTGTTTTAAACTTTTTTTCGGCTGGGCTAGCAGGCCCCAGTGCAGGACTAAGAAAGGGAGGAGACTGGAGTTAGATTGTAGGGTTGAAAGAACAGGATATTGAGCTGGGGAAGAGCGGGGCAGAGTGGAAGACTACATGCATGCAGAACTGGGTTAATGGCTGCTGTGCAAAGCAGGGGGGGAACTTTAGCTGAGAGTCCAGAGTGTGGGTGATCCGATTAGGTCCAGAGCTGAATACAGGAATAGTTTAGCCAGACGAGGGTCCAGGGAGAGCAGGTGGGATGAGCGCTATTTCCAGCACCATAACTAAAACAACACATTATTTTGCTAAATTTGCTTTTAACTTTTAGGATAGCCAACTAAATGTTCTTCTACAATACGCCTAATAGAAATTTTAAAATGTGTTCATTATGTTGTTCAGCTGTTGTAGCCAACAGTTTACTGATTAATTTTAAAATGTAGGCTATTTGAATGTTTTGATCTGTAAAGAAATTAAGCAATTCTACAATTAATAAACCCCCACACTGCCCTTGTCATCACTCAGTTACGTTTAGTGCTGTGAGTGGAGGTCAATAAATAAATATTCAATAAATGTTTGACTTTATTCACTTGAATTATACACAAATATTTTTTTTATTAAGATTTATTTTAAGTTTATTTTGTGGTGGAAAAGGGACCGAAAAAAGCTTTTACTTAATTTGACGCGTGCATATTTGTTGACAAAGATTTTATCATAATTATTTGTGAAGTGATCTACTGTTTAGCATCTAGTGTTGACCATAATTTAGAGTTTAAACCACAGTTAACCATCAGGTTTCTTCAACTTCCACTCAGGAGCAAAAATCAGCCTTTAAACTCAAAAGAAATAACAATTTGATACTTATCATGATAATTATCGATATCGAAAGATATGAAAATCTTTATCGTGATAAAATTTTTGGCCATATCGTCCAGCCCTATGATCAATGTATGTTTAGCCAGCAGACATTTCAACTCGTTTTCAATACTACATAGAAAAGGGGCTTTTGTACATACAAAAACGCAACATAATTTAGAGAGCAAACAGGGTACCTAAAATGTAAAAATACATAAAATCTCATTTATATTACTGGTTGGAACTGGAGCTTAACATTTACTAATTAAATGTGGCCTTTGTTAATTGGTATAAAATTAGAACAATTGGATACACAGTATTATGTGAAACAAGTTAACCACACAGTTATTCTTTTTATGTAGGTAAATTTATGGGTAGGTGGTAGCTGCATCGATGTGCAGAAGTTACCAATATGTTGTCTCTCTCAAACCGATCACAGATCAAACTGTCTACTCCTTTACATGTGACCTGAGCTGAGAAAAAGGCGTTGAGCACAGAAACTTGAGCAGGATTGGTTTCATTGTAACACAGTATTGTCTGTTTCAGTATTGTCTCAACAGTTCTCACCTTGTCATAGCCACACTGAAGTCTTCCAGCCCTCATGAACATAAAAACTGTGTTTGCAGATAATCTGTGCATGCAAGTTTTTATTACTCAGCTAGAATCAAACCTTTATTAATCTATTTGTTGACTGGTTTGGCTATGAGATATTACCAAATCAAAAGGATTAAGAACAGTTGACAAATTAAATCATAAAAGCACAATGTGGTATATTAGAATAGAATTACAAAAAAAACAAAACTAATAAAAACAGACTAATTACATTAATGACAGATAAGCAAATCCAAGAACGAATAGTTTTATATGTACAACAAATATCACTCAAATATTTTGAGTGCAGCAGTGAAGGTTGTGGGCAAATACAAACAAAGAAGATGAGAACTATTCATTTTGCAATAAGAACATAAAGTACATTAGTCATTTTAACAGTCCCAGTGATTAAAATGTTTTCATAGTGAAAATAAATACCCATATTTATACAGAATTTACACTCTTAACATCATTTTGTGACCTTCCTCAGGCAGCATCTTTAAAATGTTAGATAAGCAGAGTGGAATTTACAAATTTCAGGCACTACAGTACAGTTCTTTACACATATTGTTGATGCTTATAAGAGCTGGATGGTGTCCTCTCCAGGTACACGCTCTCCTCTTTCTGTACATCCCTCGCTGCCATAAGATAGGTGTCAGTGAAGGGCTTTTCCATCTTTTCTCTACGTTTGCTGTAACTGACTAGAAGGATGATCCCAGTGATGAGCAGAATACCAGAGGTGGCCCAGCCAATAAAGAGGGCACTCCCCAGCTCCCGTTTCTCAGCATCCAGCAGTGTTGGGTTGTAATAGTTGCTTATGATGGTATAGCCCACCCAGCTGACAGGGATGAGTGTTGTCAGAAAGGAAAGCAGAAACAAACTGCCCCCTAAGGCCAGGGTAATGTTCTTGCTCTTTATATTGTCACCACAACAGTTGCTCTTCTGGGTCCCACATCCTGTGACCAACAGAGAGATGACAACCAGGACTATGGAGACACACATGAGACCCCTGGCTGCCTGCAGCTCTGGTGGAAGAATTAGCACTGAGTCATACACCTTGCACTGCATCCTGATGTTGATTTGTCTGTAGCAGTCCATCCACAAACCCATCCAGAGCTCTTCCATGACGATGAGATTGGCGCCAATGAAGGCAGAGACCCTCCATGTGGGCAGGACAGTGACGGTTATAGTCCCAAACAGGCCGATAAAGCCCAGGACCAGGGCTAAGACCTCTAACTTTGCTCTCATGGCTCAGAGAGAAGTGCAGTTTGGTCTGTCGTCTGTCATCTAATGAAAAGAATGTTCAATCTGTCTGTTTTACAGAGCTGTAAGCCTGTGATAATATCCTGCAATGTCATCCTACTGGTTTGTGTTGACTTGACCTTGAGAATACCAGTGTTTCAGATGCAACAAAAAACCTCATTTGTTTTAACAGCTAACAGCTGTTAGCATTTGTTATCATTTCTCATCATGCATGAATGGCGCCATTGAAAAGAGTATGACTATGCTGCCATGGATAAAACTTGCGAATTCAGTTTTGATGACTTTCAAGTATACATGACCAAGCCCAAGATCTTAGTCATACATCTACAGCTTGTAAAACCTCTTTACACAAAATTGGATAAAATCAAATTGATGTCCTTACTCATTTTGAAAAGTTGACATTTTGGAGAAACCAAGTTTTCATCTGCCTTTATTGTAGTGTACTGCCGTACTGAACCTGATTCACCCAATGGCAAGTAATCTCGCTGCATTTACATTATGGATAAAGGACACTGCAAAAAAAAACTGTTTTGTAATAATGTTTTTTTTTTTTCCTTTTTTCAAAATCAGTCCAACCCTGGACTGAAATATGGCAGAAGAAAGAAGAATAACTGGATGTGCGGTCGCCCTAAAGGGCAACACACACACCCATTGTTGATGCCTGTCAGCTTGTCAGGATAAGCCATGGTCCTATTTCCCAACGCCAACACATGTCCGCTCTCCTGAAAATCAGCAATTTTATCACATTTACTTCCCAAATAAGCACATACTGGCCACTCTTCTTTAACCCATTCTTGTTCTGTCATTGTGCGTGGGCTATGGGCATCAATTACAGTGACACAATGCATTATTGTAAATTGGTTTCTTGAAGGGAGTTTGTGATAAATCTGTAAACTTTTACAGTGCTTTAGTGTGAGGCCTGTTGATTGTCTTCATAACGGATGGAGAATTGACATAGTTAAAAAAAAAAGCGAGTAAAAATCAATCATCAGTCAGTTGATCTGCTTATAGAGGGGTTTTCCTATTCAACTGGCTTGTCTGTTGCCACAAAATGTCAATTTTAACTTGGTTTACAAAGACTAAAAATTCTTTAAACATGGTCTGATGCAGAGAAGGAAATCTTTCAAAACAGGGTATTTCACAGTTGTTAACAAGAGCCACTCCTTTATTCAAACTTTGGTTGGTCTAGGAAAGGTAACACAAAGAGAGATGGTGAGAGAGGTGTAGCAGGAGCAGTCATAAAACAGGAACAGAAACTGTAAAGCCTGAAGAACAGGTTTGCTGAATGATAGTATCGTCACATCCTCTGCTGTTTTAAATGTAAACAGAAACAGTCATGCTAAGAAACCCTTGAGCTGTGAACTCAAACACGTGTATAATCAAAACATGTTATGAAGTAATTTCTGTAGATATGTAACCTCTAAACTGACAGTCCTGTTGTTTTGGATATTGATATGAGATGGATTTAATAAAAGGTATGATGCAAATTGAAGTGTGTTTTATTTATTTAGTTTTTTACACACACAGGGACAAATTAGTGCTGGTACAGTAAGTCATGTACATCGACAACAGACTGCACCACCTGCTGAGTGTAAATATGATTACACATTCCTGGACCACAATAGATTTAAAGACATCAGAGGGAGGTAGTAATAAGTTACATGTACTCAAGTACTGTTTTTCAGTAAATTGTACACGTCAAAGTAGTTTTAATGCATCATACCTTTACTCTGAATTGAGTAGATTTTTTGAGAAAAATCATTACTTTTACTATGTTAAATTTGGAAACATTCATCATGCTACTTTTATTCATTTATTATTTTATGCATTCATGATCTGTTAAGAGGTAGGTGGTCAGCTGTCTGCTAGTGCTTTGTTATCGTACCGCAGTCTCGCATCCACGTGACTTTGTTTATGGCACAATGGCTGAAGCTACAGAATTGTATCATGGCTTTCAAGTAGTGCTAGCAGCTGATATTTAGAGTTGAAGATGTATTGCACAGTGAAGTCAGTTCATCAGAGGACTGTGTTGACACTGAGTTGACAGAGAGCAGTGTCTGTTGTGTTAATGCTAATATGTTTAATAATAAATAGATACACAGTATATCATGCTTCAAAACTACTACTCCAGGTTTCTGCCAGAATGTAAATATTCAAACTAAGAGTGTACGAGCAGTGTCCCAGTGCTTTTATTTATTTTTATTTCTTAAGTTACTTACTTGAAACTCAAGTAATTTATCCAGTAAATATTTTTGTACTCTAACTCAAATAGTTGTTTTGATGACAGTGATTACATATACAGTAGCCTACTTAAGTACTTGTTTTTGCAGAGTGACAGTTCTTGAGTGCAGTTTTTGGCTATTCCACACACCTCTGATAGCCATAGATTGATATAACATTTCTCAACAAATATTTTAAAAGAAGTTACTTGTATGTAATGTATGTAATGACCATTTCCTTCCCTCACCTACTAGGTAGTAACAGTCAACTGTCACAGGTGTTATGCCCAATTTTGCATGCCTGCCGAGAATTGTAGGAAAATGCATTTAAGTTCTGCTTTTAAACGCTATGCTATTCTTTGTGGAGTTTATCAATAGTGATAAATGACCAGTATATATTTTATGAACGTTAATCGTTAATATATTATTACACTTAGTAAAAGTACCATTTCTTGAGATTCAGCAAAAACATGTGGCGTTAACCGCGTTCAAAAAGCAAAGTGTCCTAAAAGGACCTTAAGAAGTGAATTGTATAATTCGGCAAAACAGATATTGTAGGCTACCTATCGAAATTTGCATCCACCTCGAGGTGTATGCAATTCACGGGAGGCATGCAGAATTCGGCACAACACCTGCGCTGCAAAACGTCACTAGACCTCGTGGGAGCAAGGCCTGAGTAAAGTCACGCAGTTTATCGGAGGTAGATTGTGTCTGACTTGACGGCGCTGTTTTTATTCCCCTATCTACCAAGTCGGCGAAAGTCAGCCAGTTATCTCAAACGCACCTGTAGACTACCAGTTATACAGCGTGGTAACTTCGACAGCTGTTTTCCAAAGTTAACATAGCTATATCCTTATTAGCTAAGCTCCTTACATGCTTGCTAATAACTGTTTTGAAGATGGGTCTCCGACATTGACAGCATTGTGTTGGACAGATATGTGCAGCGGTGTTTATGATACCAACCATTCAATTCACATACGTGTCTGTTGTCAGTGTTTGCGAGAGAGAAAGAGAGAGAGAGCGACAGAGTGAGAGGATGTGCGGAGCGAATAAGCTCTGCGAAACGCTGCAATCAAGAACGATTTTAAAATGGCTCGCCAAATTTACATGGGCGGCTATTAATCTACCTGGGCGGCCCGGCAAAGCAACCGTGTCCCATCTCAGCATTGCTGCAGATAGTATTGCTGCAGATCTACAGCCCGGAGGATCTGAAATTATCATTTCCCATCACAAATTCACCAGAACGTGTTGTGGGAGAGGTGAAGGGGAATGAGCCATATAGATTGTAGTGTCTTTGTCATATGCAGCCATGCTACAATAATAGCTATGTTATTGCCTAACAGCAAGTTGAAAACGACGAAAATAGAAGCTTTTCTTCTATAGCAGCACCACTAGTGTGGCAAAATAATTAATTGGTAAAGTTAGCTTTCTGTTGGCTCATCTATTTTACTGCTTATGGATTTTACTACTACTGTATGATAACATACTGAATATGAATGAGGGATGTTCATAGGTATTACAGGAGTAAACTGTCTCATCACTTATATTTATTATGCCTAAAACACCCTTTTATTTAGAAGAGTACAAGTGATGAGATGTTTTGTTTTTGGTCATTTTCATACATACCTGTCATTAACACTGAAAGTGGGTGAGAGTTTTTGTTTGTTTGTTTGTTTTCTTATGTAGTTCAGTTACTGAGCCCAGAGGCCTAAACTACAAAGCAGGATTAGACCTTAGCGAGGTAAAGGGTTAAGTTTTCAGTCCTACAATGGCAGTTTCACTTCTTACCAGGGTACATTGCCATGGTAACTTGTGCTTAATGGCTAGTCTTCTCTGGAGCAGGTTATGTTGGAGATAATCAACTCTATTAAAGCACCATCTACTATTACCATCTATAGAAGATCACACATACTTTGCTGTGGGTGATGCGTAGATGCTTTTGTATAGCAATATAATCATACACAAACGCATTGTAGTACTAAAGTCTGGTACGATATGACAGTCCACTCACTGCTTTGAAATGTGTTTTATATTTTTTATTTGCTCCCATTTGTCACATTTGTAAAAATAAATGGGTTTAATTTTTCTTATGTTGAATATTATGAGCATATAGTTTGGTAAGCCTATTCATATTACGTTTAATAGGAATTTGTTTCTTATATTAGGCTATAGAGACTGGTCATGTAGCTCCCCACTTTTTTTGCTATTTGGGTGCGGTTAATGTTTTCAGTAAATGTAGGAATACACTTTCAACCAGTAGCCTATTTGAGCACTTTTTATGGCATGAATGGTCTTTTTGTTTCGCTGCTTAATGAAGTTTATTTAGAATAATATTTGGAACATTGAGTGTGTTAAATAAATGAATCCGATGTGAAGTTCATGAAAGCGAATTTAACGACCAGTTATACAGTGCTTGTGGCTTTTAATGTTGAAACGCCGACACACAGCTGAGCTGAAAGAATAAGGATGAAATTGCCATGACACATTCATATAAAACGCCTGTTCACTTAGGCATTCATACTGTTGGCGATTTTCTTCCTGCATGTGGCAGCTGCAGCTGTGTTGCTTTTAGCCTGGATTGTGTGTTTTAACTAAGCCTATGTTGTATTTGTCTGATATTATAGTTTGCTCTACGTTTGTAAAATATGCCGCTCTGCTGCCAGTAGATCCGTGTCCATGTTTACGATTGGTCTTATAATGCTAACACCGCCTCTTTTATGTGAACAATAACAGGATTGGGAAACCATAGGTTGACTTGCAGAGTTGATAACTTGCTTCGTGTGACCACTTATTCTGATTGTTAGGGTTAGTGAAGGCAGATATTAAAAAGAAATCTGTTGAATTTGCTTTGTAGTACAGAACCATGATCATACATGGTATGGTATCTCCTTCCTCATCAACTGCTCAACTGTCCTGTACCATTCCAAAAATAAATCCATCTATCAATGTATAGAATTTATGGTTGTGACACAAGATTAACTGGACTGATTAGCCATGGGATAAAAAGTCTCCTCACTTATTCAGCCAAATGTGTTCACTTAAATCATAATTTTAGACATCACATCTCAATTCAGAAGATCATTGTTGTTTCCTATATGCCAGAGCATGCCCCCCCCCCCTCCTGGAATTGCAATTTGTCTTTGTTTCAGGATTAGTTGCTTAGTCCGGCTGAGGTATGTCTGAAGACACTGGGCATTTGTTCTTCTCACATAACAATTGTTTTGCAGGGAATAAGTAAGGCAGTTGTGTAAAACCACACAAACCAATGAATCACTGTAGAGGTGCCATTATTTTTAAGTAGGAAACAACTGTATTTATTATGATATCAATACATTTTTATATATACACAGTAATAAAAATGCAGTCTTAGTAGCACAATGAGTTTTTTTACAAGTATGATTTCTTTCACTGTTCAGGCATACTGCAAGTCTTTCCCCTTGATTGCTTGAGCAAATTTGGACTATTTGTCAAAAAATGTTTTACTTGCTTACAAATTAAGTTAATGAATAAATAAAAACATTGCTTTGTAATCCATTACCAGTGAACAATCTTTTTAAACACACAAGACCTTTTAAAATAGCTGATGAGCAAATTCTCTACAATACAGTGTGCACACAAAGTGTTAAGAATGAAATGCAACATTGAGCATTCTTTAAATGGCAATACTGAAGAGCAAAAAGGAAAAATACAAGAAAATGGTTTCACAGTAAACAAAAACATGAAACAGCAAATTCAAGTAAAACAGGATTAAGTTAAGTTAAAACAAATTAAAATCCCCTTGCCTCTGTGACACAGGGGGCTATTACATAATTCCGCTATTAAATGTAACAAGAGAACAAAAAAAACATTTTCCAGGCTAAAATGATAGCTTAAAGTCTGTAAAACAAGTGATCAAAATCATTATACATAAACAGGAAATTTGTTCCCAAACATGTCAGTGTATATTCATGTGAAAATGTACAAGTACAGTAAACTATGCAAGACAAGGCTGTCTTTTGCAATTATTTATTCTATTTCTTTAAAGGACAAATAATATACAGCCCTTATCTATAATAATATCTCTGAGTCACACAGACAAAACAAATATTAATGCTCTCACAATACCCAAATTTGGCAACAGCAGGCAGGACTATAGAATGCTGCCCAAATGTGCAAACCATGCCAATCAAAGAAACTGATTAGATTCCATGATTGTACTCTTAGTTCATCTCTCAAAGCTTACATTTGACTTCTATGTAACAGCATTATGATTTGGGATAAAGCTCCCT